TCCACCCACAAGCAAATGGCGGCGTAGAGCGGTGGAATAGGACGCTCGCCCAAGATTTGGCCTGCTTTGTGTGCACTGGGCAAGACGACTGGGACCTCCATGTATCTCTCGCTTGCCTACGATACAACACGGGAGTGCATGAGGCGACCAAGTTGTCGCCGCTTAAGGCGATGTTTGGGATCGAGGCTTCTGTGGGGTGGGGAGAGGTCGAGGCGGACCGAGTGATGGGAGAGCCCTACAGCACCTCTAAACATCTCAAGAAGCTTCACTCAAGACTGTTGAATCACGGCATGGAGGCACGCCGGAAAGCGGCGACCCAGTACGATCGCAGGGTAGGCGCCTTGGGCCTGCTACCTGGAGATCGCGTCATGGTGTGGGCTCCTGACCTCGTTAGCAAGGAGGGAAACAAGTTGGTTCCATCTTGGCTAGGACCATATACTGTGGAGCGGGAGTTGTCGAGCGTGAGCTACAGACTTCGGTCAGAAGTGGGAGATATCCACGCCCGCGTGCACGCCAACCGCATCAGGCGTATCTCGAAGGATGCCGTCCAAACAAAAGATCCGAAGGAAGCGGTCTTTCCGGATGGGCTTAGGCTACTGCAGAAGGTCACCGCCACTAGGGAGAGGCCATGCCCCAGGACGGGAATCTTGGAACGTTGGTTCAAGATCCAGCTTCGTGGTCGTGCTTCGCCGAGGTGGACGCCTGAAAAAGCATTGCCTGAAGCAATTATAAGCCTCTACGACGCACGAAAAGGCAGCTTGGATCTCAAGACGCCAGAGAACGCCAACGGCACACCTGAAGCTCTGCAGGCAATGACTCACTCCGTTGAGCAAGAACACTTCTGAATCAAGCCCCCTCACCTCATCCACCCAAACCTCAACGAACCGACAGAGACATAGGAAAAGGGACGGATGTTGCGCGTCGGATATCAGGTTTCTACGCCACACGTGGAAGCTGCGTGGACATGCGCCTAGATCCCAGGATCGAATCACCCAAACTGTGCGCGCACAGTTTGGCTGCCCGCCGCTGACGACAGTGGCGGGCGGAAAAGCCGTCCCGCGGGTGTAGGCGAGACCGGGACCGTTGGAGAGAGCGAAGCGGCGGGGAGAGACGGCTGGAGGTAGGAGCGCCGCGCGCATGGGCGCTGTGATCGCAGGCTGCAGGAGAACGTTCGGAACACGCGGGTGCGGTCGGACGCAGGAGTGAGGAGCACTGCAGGCGCGAGAGGAAAGACAGGTACGCGAACGGCGAGGCACGACGCAGGAGGGAATCGGGAGGACGACAGGTGGAGCGCGAACGGTAGGCCCTGAGTGGCGGCTTCGAAGTCGTCGGCAACGGGCCAACGGGATCGATTCCATGCCGACACTGCCGACAGCATGCGATCCGAGACCCGCTCGGCACTCACCAAGACTATGAGATAGAGATCGCTGGTAAGAAATGTAGGTATCGAGGGAGCAAGTGGAAACGCAAAGGTAAACTAGAGGTTATCACGCGGGTCTTTTGCGCTCTCGGTCGGTGAGGTATGTGGCTTGGGCTAGCCGCAACACTACAGTACCGTTTTCACTGGTTTAATTCTGGACACTTTCCAGAAATGCAAAAATCAACGTTTTTACCAATCAGACCAAGGTTTTTTGCCATTCCTGAGCTCGTCAACAGACGGAAAATGGGAAAAGGGGTCAATTCTGGACAGGGAGCTGAGCACTCTTATCGATAGTGAGACAAACCGACGAGCCCTGATGCTGCCACTTCCGTTCTCTCGTCTTCAACACACCCTTGCCCGCCGATATTGGCACTTCTTCGGACTTAGCGCCATGACGCAATTGGAATATCATCCAGAACGTCTCCCTTTAAGTCAATCAGCCTTTGCGCGAAAACACCGTCCTCACCTGGACAACGGGTTTCTTTGTTCCCTTCAAATGTGGTCCCTGTGATAGGTATCGGAGTGCTCTGTTCAATGGCGTTTTCAGAATTGAAGACACTCTCAAGTCTTCGCTTTGGGGTCCCTTTTTTTGACCTTGCTTGAAGACGCTGTGCTCCGGCCATGGGTGCATTGACTTTACGACCACGTTGTGAAGTCTTTGCAAGCTTGGGTGGAGAGACCTGCGTATCAAGTAAACTTTTGACATTGAACTCATCGTTCAACAGTACCTGTATCTCTGCTAGTGTATTACTGGCCGAACCAGGGCCGTTTGATAATTGTCGAATTCTGTCTAGCAAGGCGCGCGATTCATTTCTAACTTCTCCTAAATGAGAATCACGAACTGCCCGACTACTTCGTGTGTTCACACTACTGCACAAAGGTCCTTTGAGGTTATCACTGGCCTGACTAGGTCGCAATTCGGTCAAGAAACCTAAAATCCATTGGCCATAATCCAGACTCATAAAATGCCTTCCTGGCAATCTCTGGAGTCAACGTGCGATAACCCGCCACAGCGAGCTTTATCTTAAAAGCAGAGTTTGCCCACGTCATGTGGCTGATCATCAAGAGCTCATCCCGTGTAGACCGAACCGTTTTTTGAAAAATTCTATTCACAGGCTGGTCGCACGGCTGCAACAGATGGGTTGTATTAGCAGGCAACTTGACCACCAAAATTCGAAGCTTCTCGCATTCTTCGAGCCATACATCGCCCTGTCTAGAACTGTGTCCGTCTAATAGGAGAAGGATATGCTCATGGGGTGGTACTGTTTTTCGCGCATGTCGATTGATATGATGAATAACTTTTGTCGTGCACTACAGCCACGTGTGGCGGCTGTAGGCAGAGCGACGCGCGTTCGGACGCGTAAGGAAATTCGGGAGACCACCCGGTGGATGACCGGAACCGGGATCCGGGCGCGGCTTGCGCGGTAGAGAAGTAGCAAGGTAGTCAGCAATAAAAGGGGGAGGAATTAAGAGAAAACAGAGCTAGCAGGACGGAGAGCACAGTAGTTGACGTAGGTCTCGCGCGGGGTGATCGACGCGCGCAGGGAAGGCAGTTGGGATTCCAGGGGTGTAGATGGCTCGGTCGGTATGGGCGAGCCAGTACCGAGTCGAGGCTACAACCTGGAATCCAGAAACCAAGGTAAAAGACCCGAGGCTTCGTGCCTCTTTACTTTGATAATCGGGTTGACTATGTAGTCTCCCGTCGCCGTAATGGCGAAGCTAAATTATACTGTAAATTAGAATAACTAGGAAATGACGGGTGTAGCCCCGAGGGGACCAAGTACAGCCCTCATAGGCCCTATGGGTCGCGGAGGGATTACACGTGTCCACGGGGAGGTCCGGTAGAGCGGCAGGGGAGTCCACGTGTACCCGAGGTACACGTGGTGGCGGCGAGCGTGATTTTTGGCCGATCAGGACAGCTGTCCCGGTACCGAGTACAGTGCACTACAACTTTGACAATTACGGCTTTGTCGATTGAGCCGTGTGGTGTAACAACAAGCTCTGCGTCATGAGGAAACCATTTTTCGTTGCACAACCAGTGTACTACACCATTCGTATTAGTGACGTCCTCCCTATCGAGAGGCTTACGCCATGATTTCATGACTTTCTTACCAGAGGCTATCAAAAAAGGGGCGCTATGTTGCCACATGCTGCGACAGCAAGTCCTGCTGTCAAGTGCTTACCGGGATCCCTAATGCCCAAGCGAGCACCGCCTTGCAAGCTGCTGGACGAGGTGAAGCACTTGACTTTACGACCGTACTCACCGCATACAGCGGTTTCATCCCAGTTCCATATTTTGTGAGGGTCTCTGAGGACCTCTGGGAACTCTTTCTGAAGTTTCAAAATAACTTCCTTTAGACTGCCCATATGTGTTGGATTCTCTGCCGCTAGCCTTGCCATGGAAACGTTCTGGGATGCCCTATAGGCCAATTCTCTATGTCGTGCTCTGAATGAGCGTATGGCGTCGGTGGATGGGACGCAGTTGGAGAATGCATTTTCTCTTCCTGCCGCTATCTTGCCCTGAATGCTCTTCATTAGAGAACAGTCAACGGCAAAAACTTTCTCAGCTGCTTCGAGAGTCTTGTGAACGACAAGACTCTGCTCAGCACTCGTGAGAACTGTGCGACGGCCTGCGAAGTGTTTTTCCGGATCGAGCAGTTTTGCGAGCTGTTGCGTGTCCCCATCTATGATAGCCTTTCGAATATTATACACTGTCGTGCGAGTGACACCACTTCGAGTGGACACTTCCCTTGGAGAGATGCCGCGCTGCAGGAGCTGTAATGCTTTTTCCCGTCTGATACGCTCATCTTTTCTTTTAGCAATCCCTTTGTTATGTGCGATAGTTTGAGCGCGCATGGAGCTCGGCATGTTCGCACCACCGATCAGGAGCACTGTCTACGGAAGCATGAGGGAGTTGGGAGAGCGGCGATAGGCATTGAAGGATGGGGGGGGGGTGTGTGAGAGAGATAAAGAGGTTCGAAGGCGGGGTACTCAAAAATATATTGTCCAGAATTGACCCTTTTCCAGAATTACACCAGTGAGAACGGTACTGTACCGCGATTTCATTAAATCATGTTTTTGCGCGCAATTGCGCGCAAAAACTGCCAGTTAATGCTGCAAAATGAAAAAATCACCACTTCGGCCTTCTTCATGCGACCCACGATTAATCGCGATCAACCATCGAAATCGAGATCCCCCATGCCTTCCTAGGGTCCCTGTAGCCCATCTCCATGCAGTGTCTCCTTGTCCATTAGCCTCGAAGCTTCTTCATGGCATGCTTGAAAAGATGCATGCAAGGTGTTAAGCGCTCTGAGTCTCTGCGACACGGATATTCATATATACGGATACTGGACCCAGCGGAATTTCACTAAATCCCATATGTCCGAAAGGCAGCCCCAGTGAGATGGTCCTGTGCCGGACCGGCACTGCCGGTGGTCCAGTCTGTACACCGACCGCCCTCCCCCCCTCCCTTTCCCCTTCCTCCCAGCCCTCCCTTCCTTATCTTACCTCTTCCCAACCTGTTTTCTGTATCCCATTTCCTTTCACTCAACCCTTCCCCCCCCTCCCTCCCTCACCACCGTCACGTCTCATTGCACATGAGCGAGTTCCACTTTGCGACATAGTCCCTGGCATACATCAGCACGACGACGGGCTGTCCGACGAAGAGCATGAGCCACATGAGCATGTTGCCCTTGCGGGTGCCGGCCCAGCTGTTGGACAACTTCATGAGCGGGACCTGCAGCATCATGCCGAGGAACATGTACGGGCGGAGCATGCGGAAGCCGATCATGCAGACGTACTCGTGCAGGACGGCCGACATGAAGAAGGTGCCGAAGGCAGCCGTGCTGGGCTTGACGTTGTGCCTGCGCGACTCGATGTACAGGTGGCGCACGCACCACTCGTGCACGAGGACGTTCCAGGTGCGCCAGAAGTGGTTGAGCGTGGTCGAGTTCCACCACTCTCGGTAGAACTCGCGGTCGGCGAAGCGCGTGAGCTCGGCAATGACGTTGAGCCCGCAGTGGAAGAAGCCCCAGAAGAAGAGCAGCCACATGATGAAGGACGGCAGGGCCAGCTTCATGCAGAAGAACACTCACCCTGCTGCCCGTGCCCCTCGCCTTCCTCGCCCCCTCCTCGCTCGTCTACGCCCACTCGCGGGGCCGCGTGTCCAAGTGGACCACGCTCGCACTCCACTGGCTTTCCCTCATCGTCCTCGGCGTCGTCACTACCGCCGTCCAGTTTCGCACCCACCTCAACCCCCTCACCGGCCTGTTCCACGGCTGCATCTACGTCGCCATCGCCCTCAAGCAGCACAGCTACGTCCTGACCAACCTGCTGCTGTGGGAGGAGACCCGGAACAGGCGTCTGGCCCGCGTCAAGACCTACCACTTTGCCCAAACCAACCGCAACAGCAGCACCGCCTCGCTCTCGAGCGCGGACGCCGCCTCGTCGCCCGCCCCGCCGACCACCGCCGCGTCCGACAGCAACGGCTCGCCGGGCCCGGACGCGCCGCCTACCGACGCAAACGCCCCCCCCATCGTGCGCAAAATGTCGTCCGGCTTCCGGTCCAACGTCATCTACAAGCCCGTCGTGTACCCGCGCAACGTCACCTTGGGCAACTACCTCTACTTTGTCGTCGCACTGACGTTTGTGTACGAGACGTCCTTCCCGCGCACGACCCAGATCCGCAAGATGTACGTCGCGTGGCACTCGCTGCAGGCGTGCGCGTGCGCGGCCGTGCAGTACGTCCTGCTCATGCAGTTCTACATCCCGACGCTGCGCAACTCGGTGCCGCCGCAGCGCAACCTCTGATCCAAACCTGAATCTCGAGTCGGACTTCGAAATTCGAAGATCGAATCACGGCAATAAGGAGGGAGTCCCTCCCTCCCTCTTTCACCGGCACACGTCACTCCGCTCCGCGTCATGACTTTCCGTCTCCGCCACCGCGCCTCCTTCTCCACCTCCACGGTCTCGCAAGCGCTTCAACTGCGCATCCCCAGCGCCTCTGCCGCACCAAAGTAGACCTGTACCTGGCGGCTTACCTCACAAGTGCCCCTATCCACCTCCATCAACGAGGCTCCGCCTCCGCCCTGGGTCTCCGCAGTGCGCGTCGTTTGTCTCTGCAGTGCGCGTCGTGTCCGTGTCAGACGATGCTTCACACATTGCCTTCGTGCCACGCGATGAAGGCTGCATCGCTCTCGTTTCCCTCAACACGCGCCCTTCGTGTGTTCCGCTGTTTTTATCCGTCGACATAAATCCCGCCATTGCTACCTCGGTCTACTTCTTTTCTCTTTGTCTAGCAGAATCTGACGCCCCAACTACGTACGTATGAATCGGTTCCGCTACTGACTATGTCGCCCTCTTCTCCACACTCACCTTCGAGCCACTATTTATCACATGACCTGGCCCCGATCTCCCCATCCGTCGCCTCCGTCTCTATCCGCCTCTGCAGCTAGCTCCACTCGCCCCGGTCTACCGTTCGAGCCCTTGGCAGCGTGACGGCTCGGAGAAAGTTGAGGGCTACATGATGGTGCAATTCGTTCATCCATTGGGTGACTAAGGAGGTAGGACAAACAATAAGGGTTCCGCCCTGTCCACTTTTGCCGATATGAGCAGCCGTCATGAGTTTTTCGACTGCTGATCGCGCCCCTTGTGCTGCTCTCAAAGTGCCGCTTGGATTAGAGCGCCTCATACACCTAGCTCTTCAAAGTTGCTGACGCAACGAGCGCTAGGGTCGTTCTCAACATGGATGAGCTCCCGGAAAAGCTGCCCGAATTCCCTCCGCACGTCTCCGCCATCCCTATCGGCAGCGTCGTGCGTGACGCAACACTCCCAACTGCAGAGCCCCCGCTGTCGCCCCCAGTGCGTCCCTCGCCCTGGTGCTACATCATTTTCACCTCTGGCACAACCGGTGCCCCCAAGGGCGTGCAATTCACGCACGCTAACTTCTCCAACATTCTCCTCACCTCCCCCATGGACCTCGGCATGGCCCACGGCGTGGGCGTGGGTCAGATTCTCAGCATCGCCTTCGACACGGGAGTGGGTCAGATTCTGGGCTGCTTGTCGCACGGGACCACGCTCGTCATACGGCATCGCAGCGTGAACTGCTTTGGAGGCTGTTTATGAGGGAAGTATTCGTCATCTTAGCATGTAGATTTCTTTCCCTAAGTCCGAGTCGATCCGAGTCCGGATCATCCTCGTCTTCAAACACACTGCGTGTTGCAGCCCCTGATTCTGTGTCCCATTGCTGCTGGTCTTCCGTGTCGTCTGAATCCTCACTTTCCCCATCGTTACTTTCCTCTACAGAACGCCAAAAGTCAGCCTGCTGAAGCTGCACGTCACCCAGTAGCTTCATGTTCCAGTGCGAGAATGCTAACTTTTTGACCTTATCAGTGTCGAGGCGATTTCTCGCTTTCGTTCTAATACGTCCCTGCATGCTGAAGCTCCGTTCTGCAGCGCAAGAGGAAGGCGATACAGAAAGTGTTCTGATTGCAAATTCTCGGAGTTCGTCCAACTCATGGCGGAAGGCAAGGGACTTCCAATATACCAGCGGCATTTTCCTAAACTCTTTGAAAACTTCATCATTCCCAGCGTCATCTTTCTCGTCATTCCACTCTCCTGATATCTGCATGTACTGCTCCAGGATGATCCCACGTAGGTCTTGCGATCGCAGAGCCCGAGACCGCGAGTTTCCCTCGCCATCCGATGTCTCGTCTACCAGTTCCACTGCACCTGCACAGTACCGCATGAGGTACGATCGAAACCGATGCAAGAACGGGCTGACATCCCTTGGACAGCGGTGGGGATCAACAAGGTGCGCTGCGAAGTGAATGTCTTCAAGCAAACGCACCTTGATGGACGCATCCAAAGGCCCATTCTGCCTTCGTGTAAACTTTCCTATTACTTGATTCTTTCTCTCCGATGTGAGGAATGCTGTCAACGGCACCCTTCGCAATTCCAGGCCGACTGCAATCGTCTTCGGAACGACATCCGATATCTTGGCGTCATCTGAATCGAATACACGCAGATATCGCCGCAACAATCTAAAGATTCTGTGAATTTCTTTGACTTTGTCCAAAAACTCACGTGACTCAATCGCAGATATGAAGTTCGCCCGCTTTCGCCTTTCTGTCGGGTTGGTAATGGGCCACAGGTTGCTATAAAAGTCAGGGGCTTGCACAACCTCCAAAAGCACACCACGACTTCGTAAGTACGCCTCAAGCGTACTTTCGATAGAGGCGAAACGCGTCTTGGCGGGCTTCCGCAACATGACCGCTCTGAGCCGTAGGGGAGGAAAAAGAGGGCTCCCGTGCAGCCCGCGAATAGCAGCATCACCTCCAAGAGGTGCCTCGCCGGTATCCAATGGCGCTTGTGCCTGAGTGTTCACCTGGGAGCCAACAACTTTGTTGAATTTCTCGATGGCCTCCTTAATTCGCGCGCGCAGTTTGATCTTCACTCTCGTTTCTGACGTAACCCAAGCAACTTGGTCTAGAACTTCCTTAACCCACGGCAACTTGCCAATATCTTGCATTGCTAAGTTCGCCACATGGGCCTGGTCTTGTACCCCGACGAGTTTCGGGTACCGTTCCGTTAGCAAATTTCGAGCGTTCACACAGCATTGTGCACTATCGCTCGTTACAGCGCAAATACGATCCATCCCACCATACTTTTGCAACACAGACTCCAGAATCTGTATATATCCAGAAGCGCCCACCCGCTCGTGCGACGTGTAGACCGACTCGAGGAAGAACGTCCGACGCCCAAATCTCAATCCAGTCGCTTCCGTTCGCAGCAAAACGTTCACGACCGGAGCTGAGGTTGCGTCTCCCCACCCGTCAAAGATTATTGTTCCGAAACCAGTTGCCAAGGCGCTGGATATTCTTTGACACACTCTATCTAATACGGAGTCATACAGCTCATTCAAATTGCGTCCTGTCATCAAGAATCGGGTGGGGAAATAATCTCTAGCGTACCATGGCATTGCCATTTGGAGAAACCTCATAAAAGCGTTGGGTCGAGCAGCGGTAGTGTCCAGGGCCGTGAACGACCACGCTTGCTCCACGAAAACCTCAAGAAGTGCAGACGTCAGGGCTTTTGCACGCTCTGGACTTTCTTCCATGCGGCGTTTCTTCCCCGTCGGGGAATCTGCCGAGAAGGATCCTTTTCTTTTCGAACTTATCTCAATATTACTGTGGTACATTCCCCTCTCCTTCTGTAGTGCACTAGATTCTGAAAGGACGCGATCCTTCACTACCTGAGTATATACAGGGCACTGTAAAACATGCTTCCCCATGTTGAGAGATCTTCGCTGCTTGTCCCTTATTTCCTTCCCACATCCCTTACAACACGAGCCAACGACCTCACCGTCTTCCATAATTTTATCGAAGCATTGCTGCTTGACGTAGTATTGCTTTCGTCCCCCGCTTGATCCACCAGAACTCCTGCGACCGGGGGCTGAGGTACGTGTTCCTGCCGGTGCAACCAATAAAGGTACACTCTGATGGCGGAGCAATCGGGCCTCGCTCTGGGAGGGGACTGGAAGAGGGAATGTCGGCGGCGAAATCGCGTTGGAGTACACCGGCGTTATTTCTTCTTCGTCCTCTAAAACTGAGGGTGCCTCCGGACCGTTGCTTGGCGGCTCACCAGCTTGTCCACTTCGCCTATCTGCTGCGTGACAGTTGGACGACATCGAGTCCGACAAACCGTCGTCCTCTTCGCACAAACTACAATATATATCCGTTTCGGCTCTTATCAAACGCAAGGCGATTAAACCGAAGGCGTAGCGGTGGGTGTCGCGGTCGCAGAGAGGGAGATTGCGTGGAGGGTGTAGCAGTTGTGCCGGTGGCGGCGGAGGCGGGTGCGTGCGGGGGGCGGTTGTGGCGAGCCAGAAAGCGGCGGTTGCGACGAGGCTGTGATGCGTAGCCCTGTCGCGCAAGAGGAGCATGGCAGGGTCAGTCAGTGACCACCCGGGTTTTATCTGACATTTTGGCTGTTATGATAAATTTTGGGCCATGCCGAGCTGACACTAGCTATGTTAGAAATGGACCTCCGCGAGGTCATAAGGCCACAGTTTCGGATGTACTACCAACCCTTGACTTTCGGCTCGCATTTTCCATCTCTTCCCGAGAAGCGACACTCTCTCCACATACCTCAAGCGCTCGTCAGTTGAGTTCTCTTCTGGTTTCTGCTGATTAATGCGCAAAACGGACAAGTATGGTACATGCGGAGCCCGTTTCGTCCGATCCGTTGCCATGTGGACGGGCGCATGACGAGTTCCTATGTCCCCCTTGCTTCGCCTGCCAAACACAAGACAGACGAAAACCAAGCCTGCTAATACTTCTCGACGAACAGCAGGTAAGAGCTAGGGCTACTGCTGACACAGGGACGTCCCTGAACCCTTTTGCTACCCTTGATGTAGCGGGAAAATCGGCTGTGTACCTCTGCACTGCTTGCCGGGACAAGAACGCTGGATGGCAAGTATTGTGTAATCCCAGGAGGTATGGTGCCAAATCAGCGTCAAGGGCCCTGCGTCTCTGGAAGAGAAGATGTTCTCCCGACGTTCTCAGAAATTCTACCGTCAGCTGTTTCATTTGTTCTAGAAATATCCAGGGCGTACAGTGGAAGCGTGCAGAGGTGGGTAGTAGGGCAAATAGGAGAAGAAACCCTACGCGGGATTGGACGCTGTTCAATCTCATTTCTGACGGGGAAACTGTTCGTTCGGCATTTACAGATGAGCTAATTCGACTTTCTGAATGTGACAACATAACTGCTCAGGAGCTCTTGAGGGACCCATCCGTGCATCATCTCTGCTA